GTATAAGGTTGATTTGTTTCTGGCCCGATTGTATTTTGAGCTTTAACATGGCCAGTGACTTGATTCTTCGGTGACCTAAGCTAAAAAGGACATGCTCTGCATTCAGTTCCTACTGGAAATACCACACAACGAGTTGAGCCCGCAGCCATGCCCCGTTGAGTGTGTCCACGGGGTCTGGAGTCGATGGGAGAGGAGACTGCCTTCAACATCGTTAGTGGGGGGTGGGACTGGTAGAGCGGGAAGTGGCTCGTTCTGCAGGTGGGCCAAGTTTTGCAGTGCAAGTCCACCAGTGATCATCACAGCTGACCATTCAGGCTTGTGCTGCTAGCACATGTCGAGCGAGGCACGGAAAGTGCCTAGGCCCGCTGCACTGAGTTCCTAGTCCAGAAGTGGGCCTTTTGGTACCTACATAAGACAAAAATGAAGAACAGTACAGCACAATTATTGTTTGAATAGAAAATGTGGGACTAGTTTGTGGAGTTGTGTATGTCCGATTAATGCTCAGACTACCGTTTTCGATAGAAAGTGCTGTGTATGATAACACTCTTCTTCAGATGTACACACACAGCTTTTTGTCGTGAGTGGATAATGTCCCTTCGCGCACATCTTAGGCTTCAGAAAGTCCCTTTTAGATGGCTGGAGGCATCAGTCCGATTCGGGTGGTGTGCTGTACGATATGGACTTTGGTACTAGTTGTATTTTCAGTACGCTCTGCTGCTTGCCGAAGGATGTGAACCTGCGAATGGTGTGGTATCGGCGTATGTTTCCTCCATTATTGTATATTTCTGTGGACTCGTAAGCCGCGGTCTCATTTAAGCAACAAACGCCAAGAACCAACAACCAACCAACCTCAATGAACAACAAATGTTATTGAGCAGTGGCTGTTCGCCGTGCAGTTTGGTTTACACGACACAAGCACATGCAGACACAAAAACTGTTTACATATGGGACTGTTGTAGTTAACAATTGCACAGACAACTTAGTGAATGCCACCAAATGAATGCTTTCGTGTGTATGTAGAAAGTAAACATTCGCTCATTATTTTCAATTTTAATTTTATTTTATTTTAAGTTTTCATGCCTGAGAATCTGACGATCAAAAAATGAAAGCCGTTTACAATTCCCTGTAACGCCGGTTAGAGCGCAGCTCTTGAGGAGGATGGAAGCGTACTGAGGGATAGGTGACTCGAGGTCACGTGACCTCAAAGGGGGTCACGTGACTTCAGGGGGTCACGTGACCTCCGGGGGTCAGACCCCCAGAAGTCACGTGACCCCCTGAAGACACGTGACCCCCTTGAGGTCACGTGACCCCCTTAGGTCACGTGATCTCCTTAGGTCACGTGACCCCCTGAGGTCACCTGACCCCTTGAGGTCACGTGACGCCCAAAAGTCACGTGACCGCATTGAGGTCACGTGACCCCCTAAGGTCACGTCACCCCCTGAAGTCACGTGACTTCTGGGGATCACGTGACCCCCTAAGGTCATGTGACCCTTCAGGTCACGTGACCCCCTGAGGTCACGTGACCTCATGGGGTCACGTGACCTCAGGGGTTCACGTGACCTTTGGGGGTCACGTGACCTGAAGGGTCACATGACCTTAGGGGGTCACGTGACCTCAAGGGGTCAGGTGACCTCAGGGAGTCACGTGACCTAAGGAGATCACGTGACCTAAGGGGGTCACGTGACTTCAGGGGGTCACATGACTTCTGGGGGTCACGTGACTTCTGGGGGTCACGTGACCTCGGGGGTCACGTGACCTAAGGGGTCACGTGACCTCGGGGTGTCACGTGACCTGGGTGGGTCACGTGACCTCGGGGGGTCACGTGACCTCGCGGTTACGCCGACGCCGACGGCGACGCCGACGCCGCTCAAGCCGGAAACGGGCCCCTAAGAGCTGCGGTCTAAAAATGAAAGCCGTTTACAACTCCCTGTAACGCGGAATTAGAGCGCAGCTCTTGAGGAGGAGGAGGGAAGGGTACTGGGGGGGTGGGTCAAGTGACCTCGGGGGGCAGGGGGTCACGTGACCTTGCGGCGTCACGTGACGATGCAGATGACGTCATCAGTGACGTCACTGATGACGCCATCAGTGATGATGATGATGATGACGATGCCGGTGACGTCATCAGTGGCTATGACGGCAACGGGGGGTCACGTAACCTCGGGGGGTATCCCCAGGTCACGCGACCCCGGGGGGGGTCACGTGACCTGGGTAACCATCGTGACCCTCGTGAGGGTAACCCTAGTAACCTTCGTGAAGGTAACTCTCGTGACCCTCGTGAGGGTAACTCTCATAACCCTCGTGACCCTCGTGAGGGTAACCCTCGTGAAGGTAACCCTTTTGAGGGTAACTAACCCCCGTAACCCTCGTGAGGGTTACGAGGGTAAGTAACCCTCGTGAGGGTAACCCTCGTGAAGGTAACCCTTTTGAGGGTTACTTACCCTCGTAACCCTCACGAGGGTTACGAGGGTTAGTTACCCTCAAAAGGGTTAGTAACCCTCACGAGGGTTACTTACCCTCGTAACTTTAACCCTTTTGAGGGTAACTAACCCTCGTAACCCTCGTGAGGGTAACGAGGGTAAGTAACCCTCGTGGCCCTCGTGATCCTCGTGAGGGTAACCCTCATGAGATTAACCCTCGTAACCCTCACGAGGGTTACGAGGGTTGCGGTTACGCCGACGCCGACGCCGACGCCGACGCCCCTCAAGCCGGGAACGGGCCCCTAAGAGCTGCGCTCTAAAAGGTTCATCTGGGATGAGACTGTGTCGCAACACACATCGTCTCATCCCACATTCACTGGAAATGTGCTTTGGTCATGATCATTCTTGCAAGGACGGTGCGTTTGGGCAGCTACTATCATTGTGCTCGGTAACCCGATCGGGAGTTCTTTTTATTTTAACGTATTTCTGTGCTCTCACAAGAGTCGGCAACCATTTAATGACATTTTTTTTCTTCGTAAGAACGGGACTACGTTCACGCTCGGTCGTGCAAACTGTCGCCGGATACAGATTTGTTTTAAAGTTTTGATTGATATCGTTACGTCAGAGTTTAGACCTACGGTATCGCATCTCAGCGTACAGTTTGATTAACTAAGTTTGGCATTCCTAACGCAAACAACAGGGGTGAACTTACCTGCACGTTGATGGAAAAGTATCCATTTCTGTTTCGAGAACACTCGAGAACGCCGGGTCCTCATATCAATGCACCCAGTCGTCCCTGGAAACTTCATTTCGCAGCAGCCCCGCACGAACGCATTAAAGTTCTCTGGGCACTGCGGGAGCTTCACCGAGCGGGTGAAAATGGTCCGTGCGAGGAGCCGCGAAGCTCCGCAATCCGGCACACAGTCGGCTGTGGCATGTTCACATGGTTCCCGTAACAACTTGGAACGTCCTGGCACCATAAAAGCTCAAAACGTGGAGCTGCAGCATCGTTGAGGGCGGCAGGCCCTGAGTACTCGCGCTCCTGGCAGAGACAGCAGAGAGCTCGCCGGTCGCCTTCGTGAAGCGGCACCGCACAGGAAATCCGCGGTCACTGAAGTGTTTCAGCGGGTTCAGGTGCTCTCTGAAACTTCGTCTCGTCACACGTCTCGATTCGCTGTCGCCTGCGTCGTCGTAGAGGATCTCTTCTGCGCTTAAAACGAAGTGCACGAACTCCGCGAACGACTCGTCGGCCGCCATGACACCCCAAACTCAAGTCGAGGAGCGGCTCGAGGAAGCGCCGGACCTACCTTGAGATTCTCGAGGAAAGAGTCGAGTATTTCCTCGAGTCGAGGAGCGTTTGGAGTGGAGGTCGGTTTATGAAGCGCAAAACCAGCCTCGAGTGGAGTTTCGAGTCGAGTTTGAGTCGAGGCCCGTTTATGAATTCGGCTGTAAGTTTGTCTCCCAGAGATGTTCTTCAGTGGGACTGCTTGTTCGCTTCAAGTCCAACGACAGACAAGAACTCGTCCGTCGTCGATCGTTTGTCGTCGCTTGTCGGTGATTGTCGCGGGTGTTGGTCGTTGCAGTGGGACAGCATCGGCGACACGGAACTTTGTGGTGTCGTCGGACAAAAACCGCGGTGTTTGTCGCTGTAGTGAGACGAGGCTAGAAGGGTTACTGCACGATCAACGCGACTTAATATTACGGAAAAATGTTCACTTCAATGTGGGTTACGATTGACTCCCCATGAGAAGAGACGAAATAATCATGGGTCACTAAACTAGCGATCAATGGAGATGAATGAGCGGATTAGAGCGCTAGAATATGCGGCATCTGAGTTGTTTTTGAGCGAGCATAAAGTCGTGGAAAAAACAATTGTTCAATTCTTGATCCTCGTGTATCACATATTCCACTGCACCACACTGGGCTATGAGCGTTAAAACCTTCAAATAAAAAAAAACGGGTTCTGGGAACTTTACATAGAGTGACGAGAGACAATATGTTAGGTCAGATAATTGCTTGCCCACTTGGAACCATAAGCCCTCAAGTCGACGCGCCGTGCGCCATGCAAAAGCTCTTTGAACTCCGCGACGGCATTCTTTACAAGAGCAACTTCGACGTTCTCTTTCATCCATGGCTTCTCGCAATCCCTCGACAGCCACCGAACAGAACTCATGCGTGTCAATCAAGACTCGTCTGAGTCGAGACTGACGTTCCTTGAAGCTCGCTGCTTTTTAGCTGACTCTTCCGAACTGTCACTCTGTCTACCTGCATTAAAACTCCCGACAACATTAAATCATCGTACACCTAAGACCATCGTGATATATAATGTATAAATTACACCGCGCTATAGCATTAATCAATTTTAAAAAATACAGGGGAGAAAGTGTCTAGAGATATGTTTCAGCTTCCTCGCAGATGACCTTTGGTGTCCTGTTTCCACACTGCCAGGAACGCATCTTTTGGCTGTCGCGTTCTGACCCTTACTTATCGCCTTGGAAACATCACCCCGTGATTGCGCGTCTGCCGGCTGTGTCGTATCTCGCCGGTCTGCCAGCGTATCACTTCCAGAATCGGGTGCCGAGTGCCTCATTGAGTTATCGGTCAGTCGTGTCGCGTTGAGTCGCTACGCAGCTGCTCCCAGGAAGTTACAACCCGTGTTCGGTTGACAGCAGCGCAGATGGGTGAGCTTTCTTTTCCTTCTACGCTATCTAACTTGTACCTTCTACGCTATTTAAAAAAAAGCTAAAGATACTGCCGCTAAAGATACTGATACCACGTCCGCAGGTTCCAGGCGAAGTTTCGCTATATAGATATTTGAAAGCGGGAAGGCAGTCCGCCAGTGCCATATTTTGTTCACTTATTTGTACGTGTACCTTCATAACCCAAGGGGAATAATTGGAGGGCCGTTACGCCAGAAAATAATGATACAAAAAGGAATATTTGACAGTTATGAATTCCCGAGCCCCACTAAAGCCACAAACAACAACAGCCGACACCGACATGCCTCAAACACCCGCACAATGCGCGTGAAGGTACCTTTGGCAGGCTTGCAGTCTCTCGGTGCTCATAAAGCAAGCACGAGTAATTGCAAGTGTGTCAAGAGTGTATTCGGGTGCGTGCTGCACTCGTCAACGTACTTGTTTTTGTTTCCGCTCTAGTGGGACTGGAGCATAATCGCTAAGCTGATGTGCTGAGCACATCAGCATGCCAAGCCTACAACCTAATAAAGCATACGTGAGCTCGGTGTTCTGCACGACACGAAGATTGCCAACCACGGCGGAAAATAATACAACGATACATGCGAATTACTAAGCTGAAAATACTATGAGGTTCGAAAATTGCCATGTGCGCGAAGTCCAGATGGCAACACTTATGTTCATAGCCCCTGCGCACATCGCATTTCTTTAGTTTATTCGTATTCCAAACTTTGTCCCTCGCTGGGATCCTTCCATTGTTCGCCATACTTGGCTGCCTGCGTGTTCTGCAGAAAAGTGCACTCACTGACCTTTTTTTTGAGAATCTATGTCGCACGGTGGCGGTTTTATTTAGATTGGAACACTGGTGTCAAGGTAGGTATTTTGATTAGACTCTGCGTAATACATGGGTGCGGCTTCAGCGAAGATGTATGCATATGATATGCTTAGAGATGTGATTGAATATTTGTCTCATTAGTATATATTTATTTTTTATTTGAACAACAACTGAGGCATAATTCGACGACCGGCAACGCATCTCTGATCGCAAACTTGCAGCTAAGTCAAATATTTCAAAAGTAAATTTTTAGATATTAGGTAGTTAACTTGCTAAATATCACTTTTTATCTTCTACCTAACGTTCGCCGCGGTCGATAACGTTCTCGCGAAGAAATATTTTTTTTTTTTTAAATGTGTTTTAGATGCCCCTCTGTTAAATTAATCTCAATCCTTGGTGCAACACCCTGTGTAGTTGCTTCTATCGGCGCTGTCTTTCAGTTTGACGTCAGCTGGCGTTCAATCAAAAAAAAAATGACGCGCGGTGCATCAAGATTGACCTCAAAACGTCGGGCATCGAATACCATGGTTAGGTGGAAACTTAAAAAAAAAAAAACAGAATAATTTTTTTTTCTTAATTTGTAAAGCTGCAGAAGTAGCCACTCTTCAAACTTCTGCGATGTAATATTTTCGAACGTCAGAAAAACAAGTAAGTATCTATACTTTTCGTAATTATGTAAAGAGCAGATTGCGTGGCGAGTTCAGTGTCTTATTTTCGCTTCTTAGCCTATGAGATATGGCATGCGCTATAAGAACGCCGAAGAACGAAGCACGCGTGAAGGAATTACGCTGGGACATAATAGCCCTGAGCTTCTGAAGCTCTCAGCGACTTCAGTAACAAATATAAATAATATCTTTTGTTTCACCTTTTTATCGTGACGCCTTCACCATGCTGTTTTAACTGCGTTTCTGCTGTCGGGATTGCTCAGTTCCCAGGAGAGATTGTGAATGCGTCCTCCCAAACTCATTTGGTAGCCAATGTTATCTTCAGAGCATGTATTACTCGATGTTCCTTGTGGCTCCGCGAAAATTATAATCGGGGCAAACTTTGTGCGCTATAAATGATATCCGTTTTTTTCGTGGGATAGAGTGAGGATGACGTGCGCTCTCAAAGCAGCTGGGAAGAACTCGCTCGCAGTGGCTCTTTGATCGATTTAGTAGTCTCGACGGGACAGACGCCAGGGAGAACGTCAACATCAAATTGCAATAAGAAAACCGCGCCCATTCGAGGTCCTTATTTATATGTTGTAACGTAGGGGACTCTTTATAGATTATGTAAAGTGGTAGACGATCGAAAGATACCGGATGCAAGCTGCGAACCCGGCGATCGTGTCGCTACTTTCGCGGAAAACTCTCTGTGACATTTCGCGAGAAACGAATCGTGCGTGCGCGCATCGTTTATCGGCGCTCAACGGGGTGCGAGAGAGCCCGTGCACCAATAGCTTTGATTACATAGACACATAACAGGAACCGTGTGACGGGCGTGTCCTGAACTGAGAATGACCAAATCTCATCGAAATCCAGACATCTCCATAAAATCTAGAGCCCAGTCGAACCGGATACGCGCTCGCTGTCTTGTGGCTTCTACAGCGAGGCATGAAAGCACCTATGGTTAGAAGGAAGAACTGACTGGAAGTACCACTTTGCGTCCGGAAGGTGTGCCGATGCCACGAACGTAGGAGGTATCACTATTCTGTACTCAAAGACAACTTTCTGTGACAATGCATTCAGGGGTATGGGAGCGCGTGCTTGGGAGCTGTTTCGTTTATCTTGCTCGGTCTGTTCACAATCCTCTTGGGGAGCTTATACATCTGCCTTTCGCTCTGCTTTTCGGCGCAGGTGCCGACTGCTTCAAAACGGGTTCTTTTTGGGGTTTTATGAGGTGCAGTCACTTTGGAGACCCATCGAACGCAGTGAGCACGGCTACAGAGACTAGCTCCTTTAAATGGTATCCCTGTACATAATCCTTTGTCATAAATTGTCGGCTGCACGCAACTAAGATTAATTCCTCACAAGAAGGTTCTCTCTTGGTATCCTCTTGTCTCACGCAGTACTTAGCTGTTTATCGCTGGGGAGGGGAAACTAGTGAAAAGACATGCTTGAAGTTTTTACCGATGTCGACATGCGATTAGGGACACAACAGTAAACCATTAGGCCAAGCGAAACAGCACGCGAAGCAGCAAGGTAGAACAGAGAGTATAGTTGGCCTGCAGCTCCCCCAAGCAGAAATATGCGCATGCTTTTTCCTTCAACAGCTGTTTAAAAAAAAAAAAAGCATGCGAATCGAGTTTGGCCATGGTTCACTGATAGTTGAAAAAAGGCGACTCCCAGCCTCCATGGACGTTATCATCGCTCTGCAACCAATTATATTACGGCGGCAGGGGATGAGAGTGACGAAGAAAGAATCACAAGGCAAAACTGACATCTTAAGATGTCAGTGCTTATGATCCGGTTCTTAAAACCGCACTGGTTTACTTGTAATACCTAGGTAAGTGTTGCACTGCATAAACAAGCAAATGAGGTATGTCATTAATAACAATATAACTTGTTTATTTTTTCTTGTTATTCGATGTTATTGCATCAAAAATTCGAGAAAAAAATGGCATACATTTCTCCGCCTGAATAGAATAAAATAAGGAGCAGTGAACACGCCAATATGGTGTGCTAGAGGGCGGGCTAGGCAGACGTATGTGGTCATAGGTCCGTAGATCTCAAGTTTCGAGCAGCTCTCCAGGCGAGCGAAATAGGATATTTGTAGGTTGCGTTTCGGACATGCGCCATTACGCTTCCCCACTGCATTCTTTATACTCCGTTCCAGCGTACTAGAAGCTACAAGTGCGAGCTCCGAAATTTCAGTGTCTCTGCCAAGCACGTGCGCTCGTACAGCGCGAGCATCGTTCAGGGAAAACGGCTTTTGCTTGCTTGTCATGTATTCTTGGCAGAGTCTATAGGCCCGGAGCTCTCAAGTTTTGAGCTGCGCTCCAGGCCAGCAAAATAGAATATTTGGCTCGCGTTTCGAGCATGCGTCAACACGCTTCCCCCACTAGAGTTTTTTTCTACTCCGTTTCATTCTAAGTGCCAGAGTAGCAGAGGCTACAAGAGCGAGCTGCGAGCTTTCAGCGTCCCTGTCAAGCACGCGCGCTCGTGCAGTGCGAGCATCTTTCAGGATGACGTGCTTTTGCGAGTAGCTTCGGCTTCGCTATCACGTGAAGTGAAACGTACGTGGTCGCAGAAGCTATGAAAGAAAGCAAAGATGAAAGGAATGTTTAAAGGGACGCTGCGGCCGCGAGCTGCATATTTCTTTTTTTTTTTAATTTTTATTATAGGTTTTGTTATCGCGCATCTTCAGACGCTTACATTCGAACGTGGCACGTGCAAAATCGAACGTTACAGAGCCACCTGGATGGTTCAGCCATCATAACGTGGTCCGGTCTTGCGTAGGGTGCCTACATGTCTGTCTGTCTCAGGGTGAAGACATCCATTGTTACCCTGAATGTGCCAGCGCGTGACGCTCTCGCGCACTTGGTGCGTGACTTGGGCGATAAAATGGCGTCTATGCATTAGCCAAAGCTACGCGCTCGAGCTTAGTGACACCGGATTGCGCGCACTTCAAAATGCATAGAAAGAACGATTGGGCGGAAAAATGGCCGAGATGTCACCACTCAAGCAAAAGCGCGTGTGTGTATGAAGGCACTCTAGTCTTGCGGATGCGCTCGCGCCCCCTGCCCTAGAGCAACGGGTCCATTCCGGAAGATATACTTGGAACACATAGAACAGCGTTTTTAGGTAAACGACGTCCAAGTCACGAAGCAAGTTGCTGTCTTCCCCAACTGTTGTGGATCACGAACGTATTCCACGCCGCGAAGTCCGTTACTTTACGTTACGTTACGAAAGCTTATGTCCAAGTCACCGGTAAATATCTGATTCGTATAAAGTGTGGCTACCAATTCAAGAATTCAAGGAAATAGCCTGGCACGCGACATTTTAAACACCAATGTTTCGGTGACGACGAGCTAGGACGGTGAGTTACCGTGCCAACCAAGGAAACAAGGCTCGTTGTAAAGTAACGTAAGGAGTTGAGCTCGGTTCATCTTTTAAAGCTGGTTCACACAGCGCCGCTTTCTTACATCACGCCTAAGTCTCCGAAACAT